GGGTCTTGAACACAGCCTCATGAATCTTCCTGACAAGCCTCTGGGGTGAGAGTTCCTAGCCCTGTTTTACAGGTGGAGATACTGAGTTGAAATGACCAAATGGGACAAGGACCCAGTTCTTCTGATTCCATCTCATCAAGGCAAAAACAGAAGTGATAAAAATGTGGGAAAGGAAATCTGACTGAATGTCTCTGATGATGGGCCTGTTTTCCCAGGGCTGTTGATGTGTAAAATGAGAGTTATTAAAATAGTAATAATAATGTGGTAGATGCTATGTGCCACTTATTGAGCAGCTACTGCATGCTCAAGATTATTGCATGTAATCCTTCCAACAGTATTCTGCGGTAGATGTTATAATCCTTGTCTCACAGGTGAGGAAACTGAGACTCAGATTTTGCCTGACATGTTCGTGGTCACAGAAGCAGGATTTCAAGCTTGTATTGCCCTGTCTTCAAGACCCACAGTCCTTCCATCACCCCAGGGCCCATGTAGCAGTTACATGGGTGTTCCTGGAACTGCTCTCTCAGTGCAGTTTGAGAGAAGGATGTTTGGGGCCGTGATCAGGGGCCATCCTGGGAGCATCTGTAGGACACAGGAGGGAGACCCCAGGAGGCTGTGGGCTGATTAACTCTTTCCCAGGGACCCACACTGGCTTGCCTCTACACATTGGCTTCTGACCCTCTACACATTGGTTTCCTACCCTCATTAAAAACTTTCCTTCCCACGTCAAGTCCTACCCATCCTTCAGGCCTGAGCTTGGGTGGCTCTCCTTCTACAACTCCTCTCTCTTCTGCCAATCATGTGTGCACTCCTCTCTGAACTCTCTGCATCCTGTAGCAGGTAGGGCTCTGGGCCTTTCCTGTTTGTTTGACTCAATAGTTGGAGGAGAGAGATTGATTTACATTTACGGAAGGGCTTCCTGGCTGAAATTCCAGAGTGGGGATTATGGAGTTCTAAGCCTGGAAGCTTCAGTGAGTCATGGAGAAAGGTTTCTCTTGGTGAATTGGGTGATACGGCAGCAAGGACCACCCCCTCCTGCCCCACGCACACACATACAGCCTCAGGCAGGAAAGCGTCTCTGGTCCCACATTGCTCCTTCATGTTGGAAAGCCTGGGGTTTCCTGGCAAGCACACCACGGCCCTTCCTCTTAAAGCTGCATAATCGTGGGTTCCACCACAGTGCTGCAGAATGAAGTCAGGATCAGGGGTCCCATAGGCCTGGGGTTTTTGTGGCCTCAGTCTGTGTGTGTCTGTATGACCTCGGACAAGTCAGTTCCCCTCTAGGGGCCTCAGAACTGGCCAGTGGGGGGACTTCCCTGGTGGTCCAGTGGTTAAGACTCCACCATTTCACTGCAGGGGGCGCGAGTTCAAATCCTGATCAGAGGAAACTAAGATTCCGCCTGCTGCACAGCACAGCCAAAGAAAAAGAACCGGCCAGTGGGCTTTCCACTGGATTCAGGAAATACAAGGATCAATAATGGAGATCCCTGCGCTCAAGGAGCTACTGGTCTAGAGAAGGATACAGTCAGTAAACAGATCATTGTAAGTCAAGGTGGTGTAAAGTAATTAGCCTCCAACTAATAAAAATAAATGGAGAAAAAAAAAAGTAAGTCAAGGTGGTTACTTCTGCAACAGAAGGATAGACAGTTCCTGAGGGGAAATAGGGAAGCTCAGAGTATACAGTGATCAAGCCTGCCAGGGGGAGTCAGGAGAGTCCTCACAGGGGAGGTGACATCTGAATGAGGATTTGAGGGATGATAGGAGTATATCGGGCAGAGAAGGGGTGCAGGTACCTCACTTTGGGCTTTACCTGATCTCTGTTTCTGACTTCTGATAATGATATGCCTTGGCTCTCAGAGAGGGTCCTGGCACCCCTCGGGAAACATCAACTCAGCCGCCATGTAAATCCTGGCAAGATTCAATGGGAGAGTGACTCAAACAGGACATGGATGGAATGATTGGAGCAGAAACCAGACAAGCAGGCAGGAGGCAGGAGTTTTAAGAGGTAAATATGTGCCACAGGGATGGGGAAAGGTGAGGTGGTAAAAAACTACAAAATTGTTGGAATAAGGAAAAAAGACTGGAAGGAAGAATGCCAAAATGCTCCCAGTGGTCAACTTGGAGAGGGCATGATTACATATGGGTGATCCTTTTTCTGCTCCTACGCACTACTCTGCACTTGCCAATTTTTCTACAATGAAGCATTTATTCAATAATCAAGAGATAGAACAATCGAAACTTGTTTAGAAGTCATTGGTGACCTTGGCAAGGGCAGGTTCAGCAGAGTTGTACAGCCAAGCCAGATTGCAGGGCATTAAGAACGTGGCAGGGGGTGAGGAGGCGGAAGAAGTGTGTGCAACACTCAGAGAAGTTTGGCAGGAAATGGAAGGATGGAGATGGTACCTGGAGACAGCAGGGACCTGCAAAGATGTTTGTTTTTATTTAATGAGTGGGGGTGGGGGGGTGGATTTTAAAAGTAATGAAATTTCCTGTATTAAAAAAGTCAAGATCTTAGAAAAGACTTCTGTGTCTCTTCTGGGCTTAAGACACAAAAGGAGAAAATTTACTGGAATTTTTGGGACTTTTCCGCGGCTTTGGGGGACAATAGAAAAAATGGTATGAAACCGGGATTGTCTTAGAAAATCCACTCTTTGTGGCTGCTGAATACTGTGTGGGTTTCCTGTCAGAGGGGATGAACAAATGAAGGGGAAGATAGAGAGGATGCTGAGAAGTAAGGATATCCATGTTCATAGCAGCATCATTTACAATAGACAAAAGATGTAAGCAACTCAAGAGTCCACTGACAGATGAACAGACAGACAATATGTTGTATATAGACACAATGGAATACTATTCAGCCTTAAAAAGGAAGGGAGTTCTGACAGATATTACAACATGGATGAACCTTGAAGATAACACACTGAGTGAAATAAGCCAGTCATAAAAGAACACATACAGTGTGATCCCACTCACGTGAGGTACTTGGAATAGTCAGACTCACAGAGACAGGAAGTAGGATAGTGGTTGCCAGGGGCCCAAGGGGTGGGGGAGGGGGAGGAGGTGTTATTGTTTAGTGGCTACAGAGTTCAAGTTTCAGTTTTGGAAAAAGAAATATGTTCTGGAGATCGATGGTGGTGATGCTTGCAAAACAACACGAATTTGCTTCATGCCACTGAAATATACACAGAAATGGAAGATATTATGTGTATCTTACCGTGATTTAAAAACATTAGAAATAAATAAAAAGAATAAGAAAGGAGATGGGGAGAAGAAGCAGAGGAAGTAGGGGAGAAGGGGAAAAACAGACTCCCGGGAAGCACAACTAGGGAGGCCTGGGTGTCCTCCCAATGGGGATAATTTTGAAAAAGTGGGAAGAGCACTTTCTGTTCAGAGCACAGAGCAAGTGGAGGGGGAGACAGACAGAAGTACGGTGGAGTAGAGCATAGAGTCAGATCAGACACCCAGAAGGAGAAAGTAAAGTGAAAGTGTTAGTCGTTCAGTTGTGTCTGACTCTGTAACCCCATGGACTGTAACCTGCCAGGTTCCTCTGTCCATGGAAAAATACTGGAGTGGGTAGTCATTCCCTGCTATGGCTAAGATTTGGAGAGCAGGTTGGAATTTTTCATTCATTCAATTGTTCCATGAGGGAGGACTTCACCAGCAACACGTTCATGCCAAGTAGAGAAAAACTCCCCTTTCCCAGGCAGACATAGCCTCAGGGCTGCAGGCTGAGTAGACAGCACCTCTGGAGGCGTAGGGGTTCCCACCACTGCTGGCCACTCAGCTGAGTGCCTCTGAATTGTAAACAACATACCTAAATGTACCCACTGGCTCTTTGTACCAGGTGCCATGCCAGACCCTGTAGAGTTTCCTGAGCTGTAGAAGAGAACATTTAAGTATCCAGTGTTGCCAGGGTTAAGGGAGCAGACAGAAGACAGCAAGGGCAATAGGTTGGGCAGCGTGAGCCTGAACCCTGTCCGCTTTGTTTCTGCAGGGCTCTGCCACCATGAAGCAGGGATGAAAAGGTGGCAGGAGTAATTGTGGTAGGCACTGGTACTCACCACCCAGTGCAGGTCCAGGGGACAGAGACGTGGGGAAGACCATGTTGAAGTGGCTGGTCTAGGGTCCAGGCTGGAGGGGGAGCCTGCCTGGGCTGGGGATGAAGGCACCGTAGAAAAGCAAATATATGTTAGGTGCTTAGTCTGCTCACAGCCTGGAGGAACTGGCTGATAATACCAGGTACCCTCGGGCAGAGATGCCTCTCTGTCTTAACCTGGTACTCAGAGCTATATGGTCAGTGTTGACCACTTCTGGATCATCCCTAGGGTAGGATGCTGACAACTAATTGTATCTAGAGGTTATCCGATGTGCCCACTGCATCTGGGATGTGCTGCCTTCTCCACTGTCAGACAAGATCACTATCTTTAGCCTATATGTGACTTGGGCTTTCCTGGTAACTCAGAGGCAAAGAATCTGCCTGTCAATGCAGGAGACAGGGCTTGATTCCTAGGTCAGAAAGATCCCCTGGAGAAGGATATGGCAACCTACTCCAGTATTCTTGCCTGGGAAATCCTATGGAGAGAGGGGCCTGGTGGGCTACCGTCCATGGGGATGCAAAAGAGTCAGACATGACTTAATGACTAAACAGTGGAAATAATATGTGACTTATGGTAACAATTTGGGCTTGGGGGACCAGAGTTCAAATCCCAACTCTTAACTTTGCAATATATAAGCTATGTGACCCTGGATAAATCTCAAGTTTCTTTCTCTATAAAATAAACTCAATTAGATCATCTCCCACCCCCAGGAATTTATAAAGATTGAATGCCTTAATATATATAAAGCACCTACTACAATGCCTGTTAAACCAATGGATGTTCAGCAACTGTCACTTTATACATGCACATACCATTTGTTTAGAATGTCTGCATCAAACCTTATGTTTGCCACCAGGCCCATGTCAGTGGGGTTGGCACAGATGGGTTGGCCCAAGCTTCTACCTGGTGGTATTCAGAGATCCGGTCTGTTTGCTTGGTCCCAAGTCTCTCTTCTTCCTCCTGGTTCCTTCCCCACCTCCAGTGGGTTAGATACAGGGTTGCCTCAGACAATCACAGCAGGGTGGTATGGAGCTTCAGTACCAGACCCTGCATTTCTATGGCATTTGTGGTGAAGTACGATGTAGTGTGCTGCGTCGTACCCAGTGATAAGGTGGAGTAGGCTGCGGGAAGTGAGACCCCTTGTGATGAGGTGGAGTAGATGCTGGAAGCTCTCCAACAGACACTGTCCTGAGAACAGCCCAGTAACCTTCCACCTGGGTCCCCCTCTGCCAGCATACTTTACTATAGGGCGATGGTTCACTTCATGCAGAGCCCACTTACCGTGTATCACAACGGGTACCTAACACGACTTGATGGATTGATGAGCACATGAATGGGGGGATTAGCCATTCACAGGAGTCAATTCTACACACACTTACTGATGTCTCCTGGGTATCACACACTGAATCTCTGACAATTCAGACCTGAGTAAAAACTGGTCCCCACTCTCAAGGAGCTCAGTAAGGGGGAGGACACAGACTTCCTAGCCTCACCTGGGCTTAGATTGCCCCAGAGGTGTGAACCATACATTCAGTCAGAGCAGAAAGCAGGTAACTACCTCTGCCAAGGTAAGTCTGGCAAGGTGGGTTTTGAAGGAGGAATTGGACCAGAGAGCCAGGGACCAGGTATTCCAGGTTAGCTTTCAGTAACTCCAGAAGTTTCTGATAGGAGGGATAGGGGTCTGCAATCGCATCTTGCTTGTCCAAAACCCAAGGGGACCTCAATAGGAGCTAGGATGGAGCTATAGCTGTTTCTATATAGAGGGAAGTGGAAGGGGGTGGTTGGAAAACCAGGCTGCACCCATCTCTCCCAGTTGTAATCAAGTCATATCCAGTCAGGCAAGGAGGATGGCATGGAGGGAGAGGGAGAAACTGAGTGGGCTGGGCTGAACCGGCCTGGCACTGGAGGGACTGACTGTTAGGCGGGAGGATGCTGTTTATTTGACTATGATGTATATTTAAAGGTCTCAGTTACAATGGGCCCCAGGCGCTCTTTAACAAGCTGCAGCTGTCTGGTTGCTCTTTAGCTTTCCTGACATCTTCTCCAGGCGGGTCCTGGGGGGAGCAGCCCCAAAGACCCTCCCTGTGGGCCAGGGCTCTAGAAGGCTGATTTCTTGCCCCCAGCACCAGAGCCACCATGATGAATGGCGCTGCTGCCCCATGCAGACAAACACCTTCCTGGAACAAGCCTTGTTTGTTTAAGACAAACAATCCCAATCAACTGTGGTGAAAGCCCCTGGATGGAAGGTCCCAGCCTCACCTGCCACCACCTGCCCCTCTGCCTCCGGGCGTTTGGGGGAAGACCCATCAGGGGGCCAGGCAGCTCTAGGTACTGTTCTTAGAGTGGGGACAGAGTGGGGTCTCCAAGGACAGCAGGACCCGGACGCCTTTGGAGAGGAACTGAGAGAGAAAATAAGCCTCGCAGAGAAGTGGAGAAGCAGGGGCTTCGTGGAAAGCAGGGTCCTCAGAAGCTCAGCATCTTGGCTGCACCCTTGGCCTCGGTCCCTCAAACATAGAGTAGGCCGGTTCATTGGATGAATGGTTCTCAACCCTGGCTGTGCACTGGGGTCACCTGAGGAGCACTTAAGAAATCCTAACACACAGACCCCATTCCCAGAGATCTGATTCAACTGGATTTCAGGAACTGTCATTTTCCCCCGAAAGCTCTCCAGTGATTCTAATGTGCAGCCGAGGTTGAGAACCATTGGTTTGGGTGGTTCCCAAGGTCTGACTCTATGGTTTATTAGATCGTCCTTGAAAATTCCTGGTTCCTTAGCAAACACCTCCAGGAAGCCATTCATTTGCAGAATGCAGGCCCCAAAGTTCCTCTACTGGAGTAGGAAAAGACCTCAGAACTCATCTGGTCCAGATCAGTTTTAGATAGAGATGGCAAACTAAGGAGTCCTCTTCTCCACAGGAGAACTCCAGCCCACGTGGAAAGTGCTTTGTTCATGTAAACATCGACAACGTGGGAAACTACTCTTATTAAGGGGGAATAACTGAGGATTGAGAGCAAGATTGGAGCACTGGAGTTAGAGCTACCCTCTATCTTCCCAATCAGATTCCAAGCCCCTTAAGAGCAGAGACCAGGTCTCCCCCACTTTTTTGTATCCTCCTCTCTTGACTTAACAATCAATGGCTTTGTGGATGGATGGATGGGATGAATGTGTGGGCACCCACTGTTAGATTTGTCTCTAGGTCACCTGGGCAACCATGACCACTGTCACTGCTGTGAATATTGGAGGGGAAGAAGCTGAGGGAGGCACTGATAGAACCTGGTAGCCTTGGGGCTCAGGGGAGGGCCATTAATAAGGAGTTAAGTACCCTGGTCTTCAAAGCTGGTCTTCACAGATTTGCTGTGAATTGTGGGCAAGGCCAGATTACATGCCCATTATTCTTCACTGTGAATTCACATCTCCTAACATCTATCACAGTGTAATCAGGAAGCTCTGTCCTCAAAAGGCCAATTTTGCCAAAGGAAGAATGTGGGTCTAAGGCACTGGGAAGGGTGGGAGGGAGAGGGGCCCCATGATGGGTGACAACAGGAATTAGTGCCCTGGACTGGGTCTGTATAACTCTCACCAAAGATAAAGACCCTGCCCTCAAGAAACTTACAGTCGAGGAGCAGAAGCTGTTAGGAGAAGAGCAAAGTGGGCCACAGAGGAGGAAGTGCCCAGAGGGGCTGGATGTGGACGTAGAGGAGGTGACATTGAGGCTCAGTGGGGGTTCTCTGGCATGGTCTGAGGAATCTGCAATCTTTTTAAGCTTCTGTTAGCAGAGTCTGTTGTGCAGATGGGTTTAAGACTCTCGGCTAGTGGACAGCCTGTGCAGGAGAGGGAGGCTGGTTAAGGGCACACAGAAACAGTCAAATGCGTCAGAAATGCTCCTCTGGGGGAGAAGGAGGCGATTTGACTAGGGTGGGAGAATGGACTCGAAGTGCCTTTTTGTTAGAATTCGTTTAAAATAACTCCCGCAGGAAGCAATAATCCATTGCAGTCCTCCGCACGCAGTGCTGGTTTGCCCAAGTTGCGGGGAGATCTGGTGCCGATTACCAGGTTTCGGTGCATTAAGTAATGCAACAATAAAATGTGGGTCATTGCAGCACAAAGTCCCCTTTATTTTGACAAGTGTAGTTTTTACTCTGAAGTGTTATCATAAATAATTAAATTAAACCGGCAAATGGCTTGTAGTACGCTTTGTTGCAGTAACAAAGTCTCTGCAACCCCAGACATGAAGTCGCTCTGCTGGGGGATTCTTGGCGCAGAACCACTAGGGAATTTTGCAGCACTCAAGAGTGTCTGAAATAGTCAAGGGAGAGGGTAGAGAAGGTTCATCTTGCCCCCCACCTGTCCCCTTCCCATCAGGGTGTCCCCTCCACATGGCTATGCCCATCCTGTCATCTGACCTGTGGTCTCTTAAATCTGAAGGGATTGCTCCCCAGCCCTGGGCTGGCCTGGGATGGAGGGGTCAGGGGTCCAGTGCACATAGTGGGTGTCATTTTTTTTGTTTTCATGTAATATCTGCGCAGGCACCACAAAGGTGTTTTTGGATCTTAGGGTTGAAGGGCTTGTAGGGTCTCTCCAGGCCATATGGCTCCCCACCCCCACTTGCGGCTCTCATCCTCTTATAAACAGGGAAACAGAGGCCCAGGGAAGTGAATGACTTGCCCTGGTGCTTGTTAACTGATGAACGGGATATGTATGCACAGTGTGAGCGGAGAAGACTCAGAGACCCAAAGGCAGGATATGCTGGAGGGATAGGGCTGGGCTGTAAGACAGAGAAGAAGTCAGGGAGAGGGTAGGGAGAAGGGGTCACAAGGAGAGAGGCAGGAATGAGGTTTGTTGGTGGGTAGAGAGCTTTGAACCAGACTCTCAGGGGACATCCAAGAGAAGACCTGAGGAATAATCAGAGTCCTCAAGCATCCAAGCCACTGTCCACTGCTTCTAGACGGTTCTTAAAACTAGCAAGAGAGAAGCAGGGAGATCTCTCCAGTGGAGAGGGAAAAGCAGAGTGCTGGGGAGAATCCCCAGAGGCAGAATGTGCTGGTTAGAAGCAGGGAGGAGTGTTCAGATCTTCCTCAAAATGACTGGACAGCTTTTTCCTCCTCTCCCATCACTCTACTCTTCTCCCATCCTCTCCCATCATCTGGCCTGCAGGACATCGAAGCACCAGCTTCCTTCTTCTTCCTGGGGCCCTCAGCTAAGGTGGCAGCTGGTAACTGGGTTGAAGATGGGTACATTTCCATCATCCCCTCTTTGGGAGGTATTCCAGGCCTGTGGGTCTCCATGAAGGGACAGCTCCATTCTTAGAGCCAGAATTCCCACCAAGAGTTCCAGAACCCCAGCTCCCTCAGTGTCCCAGGCCACACTTCCAGGAGCATCCAGGGTCTCCAGGCTGAGCCAGCTCTGGGGAGAGCATCCTTGGCAGAGGAGCCCCTCAGAAGAAGGTGCCTGACAGTCCACATAGCCTTTCTGCCCGCCCCCTCAGACCAGCTGTTTTTCATAGCACCTTCAGTGGGAAGGAAAGCCTGTTGTTATAACTCCACGGAACTCTGAGCTGTGTAAACAATAGACATGGAGCTTGGAACAAAAATCACCTAAAGGGCAAAGAGAGCTGCAACAGAAATTCCAAAGAGAAGGCGGCTGAGACTCTCAACGTTCCAAGGTGATATGGAACGTGCACACTCAGATCCTGGTGAGGTGTCAGGTGGCATGGGGTTTTGGCCCGGGGCTGTTGGTCTTCTGTTGGAGGGTAGTGAGGTTGGCTGGTGTCTCCTTCTCTCTCTCTGCCACCCAATGCCTCCTTCACAGGGAGTGTTCATGGGGGAGTGGGAGCCCAGCTGACCTGGAAGGCCTGTGCTGAGACACCACCCACTAGTCTCTCTACCTCCCACAGGCCTATGGGTTCAAGGCCACCCCTTGGGCAGTGGTGGCAGGGCAGGGGTGAGAGGAAGAGGGGATCCATCTCAGGTGGAATCTGAGACTGGTCTTAGAAACCCATGTCTGAACTGGGTCCTCGGGGAATGCCTTCTGACCTGCCCTGCCCTCCCTGCTGGCCTCCCCAGCCTCTGAGCCCCAAGGCTAACCTGGGTACCCTCCTCTGGGACTCACTGCCACCTATCACTCTCAAACCTTGTCATCTCAGTCTGTCACCTACATGCCTCTATATACTATGCATGTGTACTAAGTTGTGTCTGACTCTTTCTGACCCTATGGACTATAGCCCATCAGGCTCCTCCATCCATGGGATTCTCCAAGCAAGAATACTGGAATGGGTTGCCGTGACCTCCTCCAGAGGATTTTCCTGACCCAGGGATCGAACCCATGTCTCTTACATCTCCTGCATTGACAGGTGTGTTCTTTACCACTAGTGCCTCCTGGTATATACCGTAGGTGTTCAATAATGCCTGTTGAACAGAACAGGGCATCTCTAGACAAGGCCTGATATTGGGGGCCTCTTCAGAGCTGATGGCTTCAGTGGGAGGCCTGGTTGCCTGGCGGCAGCTGCACTTAGCCTTGGGGGACCAGTTGGGGAGGAGACCCAGGAGGCAGAGACTGTGTGCACTGCCCTCAGTCCGCCCGCCCGCCCGCCCGTCTGTTCCCTGTCACAGCCGGAGCCCGTCTCCTTCTCACCCAGCAGGTCTGAGGCTACCGCATTCCCTCCCTGTCAGGCACTGAGGGGATGTGTGTGGCCAGGTTGGGGGGAGGGGACTTTAAACAAACAGCCCTGGCCCCAGCCAGTGCTGAGGCTCACCACCCCCGCCCCCCCACAACCCCCCAGACAGAGGCGGCTCGCTGGACCGTGTGACAAGGAGCCAGGAGCCAGCCGAATTCATTTAGCAAGAAAGGGTCTAGTGCTCTGCCTCCCACACCCCCAGAT